AATCTCCGGTTGTTATCTGCAGTGTACCACCTACTTTATACAATGCTCCCATAGTTGGTATGATTGACTGTAGCATGAGTGCTGAAGCTTCCCAGTATAACTATGTTATATAGGTGTACTACTGACGATTATTTTACTTCCAGCTTGGTGATACAAGGAGGCCTGGAATCTTGACTTATAGTGTATCAGTATGGCACCTATCAACGACGTTGTGATATGCAGTGTGTTCCTTATTAGTTTTCCAATTTCCAATCTTGTATGCCAGAGGTGTTCCTTTATTTAATAAAGCCATCCTTTTATCACAGCCCTTTACTGTATTTACCGCTTCTCTCACCACTTCCAGATATACTACATTTAGCCGTCCTCCCAATTAAGATCTCCAAGACCACCTTAGGGTTGTTGGTGCTACCTAGCCAATCGAGGATTTATATGCACAGCCTTATGTGGTATTACTTTCTGTGACGCCATGTCACACGTAGTGCTCAGTCTTCTCTACGGCTCGGAACTCCTTCCAAGAATTCTTTATAGGCCAAATAAATACTTAACATGGTCTTATTGTCACAGGGTTTCGCATTCGAAAGCTCCCGTAGGTTACAGAGATAATTAATTAAATTAATTACCATCAGCTATAATCGAACCGTTGACCTTGTTTGTAGAGGATTAGGCGCCTAGACCACTAGGTTATGGGATCCTAACCCAGTTATGTTTTTTAAACAGGTCCAATCACTAATTTGAGCAATTAAATACATTAATTATACTTCTTTACACTAGCTGTATTGTGGATACATTACTATTAGGATTGTTTATAACATCAAATGAACGTAAAATTAATCTCAAAGAGGCAATTAATATTTTAAAAAAAATTCTACCAAATCATATATTTTTTGGTCATAGTCAAGACACTAGGCCACAGTTTTTTTTAACTGATGATTTGGCCACTAAACAAAATACACTAAGATATAGTTGGCCATAGTCAAAACAGTTTTTATACATGTTTCATGTTTTATAAGCATTTTGGAGATGGCTTCATAATTCTAAAAATGGTATTAACAAAGAGCACCATCCATTAATGATAAATTTAATAAAAAAAATTCTTTATGCACAAACAGTTAATGAAATGATTATTTATTATTAAAAACTTAAAGATAATTATTATCAAAACTATCATTTATTTTAAAAATATTATAAGTATCTTTGGAATTATCAACAATACTGGGCATATTTATTTCGCACAAGTTTATTAATGCGTGGTAATTATACCAATAACTATGTCGAGTGTGGTTTTGGTTTATTAAAAGATATTATTTTGGGAAGAACTTAAGTATTCAATTTAGTTTAAGTTTTTCAATTTATTGTAAGAAATATGGAATGATTTTATAAGTGTTGTTTGTTTGGATTTGCATATCAAAATCATAGCCACATGAAAGTTACAAGAAGATTTTTGTGTTCCAGATAAGAAAAAGTTGATGAAAATTCTATTCGAAAGTCCAATAATAAAAATGAATATTTAGTTTTGAGTACAAGCAAAAAAGATCTTATATATATTGTAAATAGTATAATTGGAACTTGCAGTTGTCCCATTGAAATGTCAGGTGCTCCACACAAGCACCAAGATGCTGTAGCAGTGAAATACCATATTGGGACAATCAATTTCTTACCTTCATTGTCAATTAATAATTGTACAGTTTATTTATATATTGCAAGTGGTATATATAATAATTTTTATATATAGATTTCATATGAATTTATATATATTAAGATATATATGTGCTAATTATTGTTTTTTTTTAGGGTTAGATATGACAAATAATTTATTTTATGCATAATTGCATGCAAAACCTGCTATATTAATAATTTCTGAAAAACAAGCACAACAAAAGAATAAAAAACAAATACAAGATAATGAGGAGCAACTACAAGATAATGAAAAGAAAAAAGCAAACTATAAACAAGATATTAATAGTCAATGTGAATTGCAAGATATTACTAGTATAAGCATTAGTTCTATATTGAATGAGTTAGTTATTTTTATATACACTTTTTTTTAAAAAAGTTTAAATCATTATAAAATTTTTATTTTTATTTTTTTTATATAGTGAATCTGGTTATCAAGGCAATAAATCATCTTTTAATATTTTTTTAAAAGAAGTTCAAGTAGATTATGAAAGCAACAATTTACAATTACGTATAGTATTGGATAAATTTGCAGAGCATTATAAAGCAGCTAAATTATTATCTACTCAATGACTAAGTTCTTTTCTTTATGACTTTAACCAAGACTTGATCCTTTAGCGTGTATAAAAAGTGGCAAAAAAATTAAAGTTCAGATTGAGCCAGTCAAACGAAGAACAAGTGCTAAATAGAAATATTCAGAAAATAATAAAATTGATACTCAAATAATTTCTAAACATAAAGCATGAAAGACAAGTAAAAAGGATCACAGTTTGCATAAAAATGGTTTAAATAATTCACCAAACTAATAAATTATATAGCACAAACTTTTTCAATAATTTTTTGTGAATTAAATGCGAATTAAATATATTTTTTACTTTTCTATTTTTATTAGTAATTAATTAATTGAATGGATAAAGTTTAACTGAATTTTAAATAGCATTATGCCAGTAGTAAAATATTATTTCGCTAGAATCCTTACATATAGCATTTGAAAGTTATAATATAACTCAATATATTTTCTTAATATTCAAAATCTATTTCACCAGTATTTTCATATTTAAATATTATAGTATCTTTGCACTAAGGTTATTTTATTTTACTACAATGATAAAATTGGTTGGAAATCATTATTATTGTACTTTAATAATTTTAAATTAATAGTTATATAGTTTCATATACAAACCTGCACAAAACTTTCTTAAATATTATTGTTATAATCTGGAGAGTGTTAAATTTGTCTATGAACTATATTGCTTGCTAATTTTGTAATTTATTTCAGCTTAGACCATGGATGTAAAGATATTGATTGCATTGACATTAAGATGGTGCATTAAAAAACAGGACAATTTAATTTTATCTGTTATATATTACTAATGCCAATATGTAATAAACTTTAAATACAGTATTTGTATTATGTGATCGGTCTTAACTGAGTAGTAACTTTAATTAAAAAATCAAATACAGGTTTATACCAAATTTGTAACAATCGTTATGAGGAAAAATTAAAAACTTTGTTATCAACATTTGATAATATTTTATTATTACTGTTATAGTGGTGAAACTTCTTTACTTTACCTACACTATTCTTAAAAGTCTCAACATATCTAGGGGTTTAGAACTCTTACTATACGATTATAAAGATATAAAATACATGTGTTAATGATTTTGCAAGTAAATCGATTTTTTTGTAAGTTACTGAATTACTGAATATAACACTATACTACAAAACAATGCACGATCTGCAGTGATTGATATAACCTGGTACAGAATTCCTATATGCAGCCAAATTTACTATAATATATGCTTATTTTTTTAAAAATTCTATTTTTGTAATAAAAAAATCAAAAGGTTAATTTTAGCTAAAAATTAGTAAGCAATTATAAAATGCAACCAAAATTTAAAGATTCTTAGCAGTTAGCCAATCAAAATCAAGAATCTGTAGTATATTTTTTGTGCAGCACCTAGGTTTAATCCATTAACCATAGCTGCTACAACAATTTGAATAGTAGATTCTTGATTTTAATTGGCTAAAAGCAACAATCAAAAAATTAGGCTAGAATAGCTCATAATTTTACTAATTAAATTATAGCTGTCTATTAAGTGAAAATTGTTTCTGGATCAATTTTACTATAATGCAGGCTTATTTTTTAAGAATTTCTATTTTTGTAATGAAAAAATTAAAAAGTTAATTCCGGCCAGAATTTAGTAAATAAATTTGTAATGTGGGCCAAAATTTTGAAGATCCTCGGCCATTAGCCAATCAAAATCGAGGATCTGCCAGTCCAAATTTGTTGCGGTAGCTATGGTTAATGTTCAATCCGTTAATTTGACACTGCGCTCTACCGATGACTACCATGTGTTTCCTGGCGCACAATATTGTATATATCGATATGCAAAAGGCGAAATTAGAATCTGTGCCCGGTTTGTCGATCACCATGCACGTTTGTGTAACATCTACGTGAAGATCCTATTAATAAAATTCGGAAGTTTTTAAAAACTTCTAGCGATGATTTCTCAATAACTACTTGATTTAATTTTTTTATTTTAATTTCAAAATGTTATAGAATTAAAATAAAAAAAAGTTCATTAAATTTGGTTTAGTAGGTTTTGAGAAGTCGTCACAAAATGTTTTTAAAAAACCCCAAAAATCTGGAAAAAAAGTAAAATCAAATTTTTTTTCTTTGAACTTTAAATGACGATTTCTTGATATTAAACTATCCAAATTTGATGATTTTTTTATTTTAATTCTGTGAGATCTTAGAATTATAATAAAAAATTATAGAATTTGTATGACTAGTTGCCAAGAAATATTCATTAAAAGCTAAAAAAAAAATTTAATCGCAGTTTTATATTTATAAGCACCAAAACTTTGAACGAAGATTACTTGGCACTTACCTAGTCAAATTCGATCAATTTTTTTTATTTTAATACTATGAGCATATATAATTAAAATAAAAATAAAAATTGATCGAATTTGACTAGGTAAGTGCCAAGTAATCTTCGTTCAAAGTTTTGGCGCCTATAAATAAAAGACTGCGGTCGACTTTTTTTTTTAGCTTTTAATGACAACCAACTATTCAAATTCGATAAGTTTTTTATTTTGATTCCGATCCTACTGAATAAAAATAAAAATAAACCCATCAAATTTGGATAGTTTAGTATCGAGAAATCGCCGTTTAAAGTTCAAAGAAAGAAAAATTTCACCGATTTTAGTTTTTTTTTCAAAGATTTTTTGGTTTTTTTTTACCTTTTTGCGATGATTTACCGAAACCTACTAAACGAAATTCAATGAACTTTTTTTTATTTTAATTCTAAGACATTATGAAAATAAAATAAAAAAAATTTTACTGAATTAATTGAGAAATCATCGCTAGAAGTTTTAAAAAACTCCAAATTTTATTAATAGGAGCAATACGTAGATGTTACACAAACGTGCATGGTGATCGACAAACCGGGCACAGATGTAAAAGAGGTTTGAGTTAAAGGCTAACAAATTCTGACAAACTAAATCTCTAAATCGCCACCCTAAAAAATTTCGCAGTCCAGTCAAATTTCAAGGTATGTGTAACGTAGCATGATCAGGAAATTCAAAACGTTCGTCTTGTCAAAAATCGCTCATAACTCAAAATTTAGTATTTGAAACAGCCTTCTGCGTATTAATAAAAAATTTTTCTTGTAAAGCTTTGGTATATAGTATCTCGAATCCTAACATAATAACAAATTTCCGACCCTAATCTAACTGCACGAAATTTTATTGCGAAATTGAATTTTTTTTTGAGTGGTGATTCTACCCTAATCTATTTTGTTGGTCGAAATTTTGACTACTTCCCTTTTGAAGCTAAAGTACAATACACAAAGTCTGCGTTAAATTTTATGCTACTATTCTCTTATTTAATTATTCGGCAAGATCTTTAATTCATATAAGCATTTGAAATAAGCAATTCAATTTTACAACATTATCTCTTATTTAATTTTATAGTTGCATTAATTTATTTGAGTAGTTAATTACATAAAATAAATGATTCAAATTAATTTCTTTTAATTTCATTAATTTAATCAGCATAAGAACTTATTAGCAAGTGTTTAAGCATTTGCCATTAAACGATACTTCTTAATTTTATTAATGTTGATTCAGTTAAACCTTCAAATTTATCTTAGTTAATTTATTCATATTAAAATATAACAACAATTTTTTTGAATTAGTATATTTTTAAAACTTAATACATTATTCTTGGCTGCGGCATAGGGTATTTGGCATAGCAAAAAATTTAATGTGCCATATGGCATGCCAACTATTTAAATTCATGCCAAGATGCCACTCTGGCATGCCATTAAATTACATATATAAGTAAGAAAATTTAACATTAAGAACTGTCATAACTAAAATTATATGGGGCATGGACTAGGAAAACCCCCCCTTCAACAGATAATTTGAGTTTTGAGAAAAATGCAATTGATATTTGTGTTACACGATTTTTGCCCGATTTATTTTTAGATTT